ATATATATATATACACACACACACACACACACACATATATATATATATATACACATATATATATATATATACATATATATATATATATATATATATATATATAAACTTATGACTATGATTTACCGCATCTGTTCATGAGTACACATGTTTACGTACTTCGATATTTCGCATTCAAAGTACGCGACTTAGTACTTCGTACGGGACCATCTCTGTATATACACACACCCAACATCTATCGCTTACCTTAAACCCAATTCTAAAGCGTCGTCTCTTCCCGTTTCTCTCCTGCCTTCTCCAGAGTCCTCATCTTCGACAACTGGCGCGTGCTGCATGGGAGGGAGGGGTTCACCGGCAGTCGCACGCTGAGTGGGTGCTATGTCAGTAGAGACGAGCACATGCTTAAGCAACGCATGTACCTAGACGAATGCGAAGAGGCGAATTAAAGGGACCTATATGAAACGAAACGTCTGTTTGGAATGAGTTCTCGTGCATGAAAGCAGAGATACGGATCTGGTTTTTTAGATCTCTATATATCCCCGTGATATGGCAAAGGTTTATATTCTGATATGCAATTTAGTATATATGTGTCTATATAGTTTTTGTAGTTATGATATATAGCTTTTTATGTATACTATTTAGTTCTGTATTTATAATAGTTAGGTTTGCTTACATAACATATAGTTTTGTGTTTATACGCCTTATATAGGTTTGTATTTATATATCTATATAGTTTGGTATTTATAATATCTAGTTTCGTATATAAATATCTATTTAGTTCTGTAGTTATAATATATAAACTTGTATTTAGAATATATAGTTTTGTTTTTATATTATATAGTTTAGTATTTAGATATCTATATAGTTTTGTATTTATATAGTATAGTTCGTATACACATATCTATATAGTTTGGTATTTATAATACATAATTTTGTATCTACTATCTCTATAGTTTTGTATTTATAAAATATAATTTTGTAGTTATATGTAGGTATATAACTGACAATCTTCGACTCAACTGAATTCATGGTACACCTTGTTTCGGCAAATGTACATCTGAATGCAAGCTTATGCAATTGCATATGAAGAGTACAGACCTTATATACAAATCGGATATGTTCGGCATATACAGATTGTTGTATGCCTGAAACTAGTAAGTCTGCATCGGACAATCTATAGTCATATTCTCAGCATGAAGGTCAATGGATCCCATGATGGTTTCAATACAACTTATAAAACGTGTGCGGCTGGACTCATTTTTTATCCAGACAGCCACAACCCATTACTAATTGCATGGTCGATTTCAATTTGGAAATTAGCAGAAAAAAATGGTTGGTCAGAAGAAAAGTGTCTGTTAGAAGTACAACCGAGGGCTCCCGCTAGGATAAGTTAAGCCTTACTTTCATTGAAATATTTCGGTTTGGTATCGCATCTGTACTTGTGGTATCTAGTGTTAGGCACAAGGACACACCACCAAACTAGGAAGTCTTTTTCTGTGCCCATTTTGTACTTTAATTTTAAAAAAACATTGTCAATATATACAGATCGGTGGCAATAGCACGGCCATGACAAGGACACAGCCATAGGGAGACCACTGGTTGAATCGCTGCCAAAGGAAGCTACAACCACAACCCACCACAGGATATATATCTTTGGCATCCAAGACGTATCCGCCACTACTGAAAGCTGCTTATAGCTGCTTACATCTACCACCTTATAGCTGCCTATAGCTACCCTCTACCTCCTTATAGTTGCCTATAACTCCTTACCTCTACCACCTTATAGCTGACTATAGCTGCTATCCCCTGCCACCTTATAGCTGCCTATAGCTGCTAACCTCTACCACCTTATAGCTGCCTATAGCTGCTTACCTCTACCATCCTACTAAAAAAACCCATTCCCAATTTCACCACGTGCGTGATACGGACAGTACTCTACAACACAAACAGCGCAGGGCATACAAATCTCTACAGCGCCAGTGCAAGTGGACCAACTGTTGCTGAAGCTCGCGTGGGTGTACTTTTGATATGCCCGGGCACTTTGACTGTCAATCTGAAGATGCGATCTCTGACAAACAAGCGATCCATGCGACCTACGGCATAGTCATGTGTACCACACTCACAAGCTCTCTATTCACGGCTCCTCTCGACACCCACTCGAAGGTCTGCACGCCGCATGGTTGCCTCTCACCAACATCCTGACGGGGTATACGCTACTAATCACAAGTACCGCATATAACACATAGTACTCGCGTAGCACCACCCCACGCCACCACTGGGCACTTACGGGCCAGTCCTCGAGCTTCGGCTCGGTTGTGGCGGCTGGCGCTGGCCGGCCGAGTGGCGCCTGCCCAGTGAACGACTGCCGGTCCCATTGCGGTTCAATGTGGGGATGGGGGAGAGCTCCTCAAACGGCTGCACCTGCGATTGCATGGAGTGGGTGGACCGTAGGCTGCCCGGTCGTACGCTGGGTCGGATTGGCGCACGCTCCAGGTTGTCTGACTCCGAGTTGTGCCTAGAAACTGCAGACTCCCAGTCCGATGCGGAGTTGTCGTCATCGTCGTCGCTCAGGATCAACTCCGACATCGATTCATCAATGTCGTTCACGGCCGCGCCCTGAACCCCAGGGGTAGCAATGTATTCAATTTGGGTGCTCTGGAGCATACGCTGCATTATTTGGTTATTGCGATTTATAAGTACATTCGCGGCGCCACATGGCCTGTTACGCAAATCACGTGGCTGAATAGGCTTTTCGTCTTCGATCTCGGGGAAGCGAGCTGTAAGCCGTGGGTCCTGGATACCGCCATAGCCCTCGGGAAAGCCCGTGTCCCATTCAGTACCGCAATAATTCGAGTCGAGGTCCGAGTTCGAATCTGAATCCGTGCGCCGAGATGGGAAATCCGGCCTGTGTAAGCTTCGTATGGGTGTAGTGCGGTGGGGTACATATGGTACCTTCATCTTCATGAATCTGAGCGCCTTCGAACCGAGTCGCTGTATCTTTTTGTTCGCAGGGAATAAAAGCATGGTAGCTGTTATGCTTGTCGGCGCCGTGCACACGATGGCTTGCATGTTGACCTGACTCACTCCCCTCACCAATCGATTAAATACATACACACCGGCCTCTTGGAGAGCTTCGCACGTGGGAAACTGCTTCATGGCATCGAGTACACAAAAGTGTACCCCAATCTGGACCATGTCGTTCAAGTCATCAGGCGAACCATCGTATGTGATCATGGCCAATGCACTGCAGGCGAGGGTCTGTAACACACGCCTCTTCTTGTTCTTCATCATCACCGGTTTGATAAAACTGTATAGTTTAATTTCCCCTGGCGCCATCAATCTAGAATCGTTTTTGAGCTTAATCCGGTCGCTATTGTGTAGCACTATGTGCTGTAGAGCCTCACAAGCCGATGCCATCAGGTCCGCATTCGTAGGGTAATCACGCATGATTCTACATAGAATAACAGTGTATCCTAGCAGGTGCAAAGCCTGAGCGGCATGTTTGTCGTGCAATACTATACAACCTGCAGTCAACGCTGCCTCTGACCACTGCTGCCTTATACACGCCGCGCGTGTGTACTGTACGAAGGTAATCATACAAGGCATCAGCCGTTTCGGCAGAGGCGGACTGGCGGGAGCTTTGTGTATGATCCTGCTGAAGTATGTAAGGCACGGAATTTTGTCTTTCATTTTCACCCCTGGCCTCATACTACACTTAACGTGCGCTGTGATCATATCTCCGTAGGCCCCCCTTTTTCGGCATTCCATACACCGCACCTGCATCTTGTCGACTTCAGCCTGATAGCTGCTTACCTTCAGTAATTGTACCCAAGGAGAGGCCGTACACACGGGACAGGGTATGGGGCCATGGATGCGGCGGCTATTATGGTCGTAGGATTTACTAATAACGACCACTTCCATGCACTTTTTGCAAATCAGATTGTCACAGCAAGCCGTTTGCAAGCACGTCAGAGGTACATTGTAGCACACAACGCACCTAATATGATCAGGGGCTGCTTCATCTTCCTTAGCCAGGATTACAAGCGACTCAGGCTGGTAAATATGCGTCCATCCGTAGGAGTTTTCCATATTGTGTTGGATCTCCACTAATATGATATCGCTAATATCTGTGTCTGCCATATTGTGTCGGATCTCATTTGTTGAGTCATCACTATTATCTGTGTCAAACATCTTAAAGTCACTATCATCCGTGTCTGACATCTTGGAGTTGTCGTTAACGATCAGTACCACAAAATATGCACGGCTATACTTCTTTCTATGGGAGCTGACGAACTCGCTAGTTTGCGTCGATTATCCTGAAGTGGCAGAAAAGGCGCTATTTAATATACCACAAGCTAGAACTATCAACACAGTTGTGGTTGTTCCAGTATATCAGGTATGCATTGACTGATAACACCAAGTTGTGATGCTGATACAACATACGTCATAGTAAGTAGGTCTGCTCAAGTTATTGTCTATACCGACACCTTAATTATACTTAGATATATATATTATATGTGGTTATACACACAGATGATAAATAGATGGCGAATCGCCTAATGAATACTGTACAAATATTTATCAGTCTGTCCGGACTCGGGACTCGGGACTTTTTCAGTGATCGATAATCGGCGAATAGGAGTGGATCTAGATAAAATACACTCATGGTGTCTTAAACTATGTTTTTTATGTGTGAAGAAATGGACATCGACAAAGACTCCTCTAACAAGAGCCAGTGTCAACCTTCTCTTGTGTATGTAAATAACTGTACGGAAATATTTCCAATCCTATCTTCATATTAATATGCAGTCTTGTCTAAAAGTTCATAGCCCCCTCTCAATAATAATAACTAGTAAGCTTGGGAACATTTTCTTTTGAATGTTCTCGTACTTGGGTCAAGACTGGATTCCGTGTGAAATTACGTTCATAAATTTGTTATCCAATCAAACGAATGATAGATTTATATTCATGATAGAATTGGGATTTCACCAATATATGACAGTCAAACGTAAAATTATGGTACATAATTCAATAAAAATACATTTTAATGTGCAAATAAAAAGAAATAAAACAACTGCTATTGGAGTATATGTACTTATTTCAGAAAAATAAATGCTCGTGACCAACAGTTACATCGAGTTTAGATTTTGAATGGGTCACACCTAATCAGAAGGCATTTTTTAGCATATAATTTGGACTTTGAGGAATTGTATTTAGTGTTTTAGGGTTAGAGGTTTAGTTTCTTGTTTTGCGAGAGTGGCGAGTGCACCATCGATGCCCTTCTCCGAAATCGAACAGATAAATACCTGATACAAATGCTGCTTTCTACTACGATTTAGATCAAAATGTATTTATATAGGATATATATAGATATAGATATAACAACCTTTTATATATATATATATATATGTATATGTATGTATATATATATGTATATATATAAAC